TTGTGTCATGATCATTCTCACCTCTTTTCATTTCTTCCATTGGGTGGTTTGTATGTTTAAGCCCTTGTGTTTCATTGTGTCTGGGTAAAGCCTCGTCCATATATATGTGCATTTCTAAGCCGTGTTTATCTGTGTTTCCCAGGTCCTTGTTTTCTGTGTGCCTATTTTGACTTCCCCGTTTTTATATCTGTGTCTTCCACTGTGATTATAGATAATCCTGTAATATGCCTGTGATGTGACCTATGCTATGAACTTTGACAGTGATTCTTGGATTGCTCCAAATAAACAGCACGTTGATGTTCATGCACTAGTGACCTGCTACTACTATCCACATACAACACTACAACAGTATTGAAAATCAGAGGCTGAGTTCTTAGTTTAAGATGATGTTTTTGTGTGTCTTTAGGATAACATAATAATGAGTGCAGTTGGAGCGTTTCAGTGGAAAGGTGGTTATCAGAAGTATGATTACCGTGGAGCACCTTTAGACTCCTTTCAGAAGGGCAACAGTAATGACAGTTATTTAGGTGAGAAGCCTCTCAAAACTCAACCTAAGCAATGTAAATGGGAAAAAATGAAATTTTATACAGGTATCTATAAGCCCAAATACTACTCTATATGGCCAAAGGTTTGTGGACACCTGACTCTCACAGCCATATGTGGGTCTTCCCTAAACTGTTGCCACAACGTTGGAGGCATACAATTGTATAGAATGTCTTTGTATGCTGTAGTATTAAGATTTCCCTTCACTGGAACTAAGGAGCCCAAACATGATCTAGCATGACAATGCCACTGTGCATGGGATGTTCAATGCACAGGTGTCCACATACTTTTGTCCATATAGTGAGGGTTTGCATTTTGGTGTTTAAATATAGTATATAGTATATTAGTATACAGTATATAGTATATTAGTATACAGTATATAGTATATAGTATATAGTAAATATAGTATATTAAGTCAAAAATTGGAATTTCATATTAGCGATTGAGTTGAATATGGCAATGAAGGACTTTAAATAAGGCAATTAATGTACACACTCTAACACAAAGTGGCAGCAATGAAATTGAGAAAACTTAAAAAGAAAATGCCCATTTACACAATCAGAACTTTGGAAACTTACAGAATATGTGCTATAACATAAAAAAATATTTTAAATGCTTTTAAATAATTCACTTAAACCTAACAAAGGACTCACATTTAAAATGTTCTGGGGTGGGTTTCCCGATAATGATGATGATTGGTGAATAATGAACAACTTAAAGAAGGACGTACGTTAAGCATGAGCCTGTTTTGAGAGTGTTTCCAGAAAGCCTTCGATATCAGAGATTTAACAAACGAGTTATAAGTAGTTGTTTGTTGACTCCGCCCAGTTGATAGTCAAACAATTCACAGTCCGGAGATAAATTTAATAGATAAATTAACTGTGAGACAAACTGTGTTAATGCAAAACAATTCATGTGGAATTCATGTGGTATTAATTTACATATTTGGACCAAGTAAATTCAATGAACTTTTTTGAGTGTTCAAAACAATGACCAAAGGGCATACAAAGCTACACCAAAAAAGTTCATTTAATTTACTTGAATCAATTGTGTACACACAAATTAAATATTGTACTTCAGCATAAATTCATCTCTTACACTGAATGAATTCATTTACATGAACACAGTTTTAAATGCGGTTTGCTCATTTGTTTTTGTAAAGTTAACACGTGTAATAAAAGCAATATGCAACCCCACACAGACAGTCACCCAAGTTGAGGCTCAAACCTAAGAGACTGATGATGGCCACACTACCCACTGCAAGCCACAAACAAACTTGTTAATAAAGTTGACACTTGGGCAATAGATCACACTCTCTCTAGCTACTGTAACTGAAAGGATTTTACTTTTTTGAGGTAGAACTGCACACAAGCTCTGAATAACAAAGTAGTTAGTGAAGGTTACTTGTTAATATACGAACGTCTTTATGTACTATGTTAGTTATGAAGGGTTTCGGGCAACACTCATTGATTAAAGAATGTTCTAATGAATGAGCTAAAGAAGTGCGAACGTTTTGGGAAACCCACCCTGGTTCCTTAACAAGCTTTATGTATGCACACTAAAAAAACTTTCCAACATTTTACCCAGGAGTCATTCCCTGGATTTGTATATAACTTTTAGTACTACTACTTGTGCAAATTTGCTACTTTTATAAAAAAAAAAAAAAAAGAAAAAGAAAACAGAAGTTTGGATAACTGTTCCATCTACATTTTCAAATTACTGATTTAATTAACTTGTTAGTGTTCTGAAAACTTAACATAAGTTTGTATTGCTAAATGTATTGTATATCTATATATAATACTATAATATAATGCAGGGATCAATCTGTGAGCAAACATGTAACATGACCAAGCAAAACTCCTGATTGACTGTCCTGTGTTCACAGGTTATTCCATGACAGTAGCAAAAACATCCAGGGAGCTCTACTACATTATTCAGGGAGCTCCAAGAGATAAGCATATGGGGAAAGTGACCATATCAGGCAATGGAGTCTTTCAGACACTGGATTCTCCTGAGGTAATTTTATTTAGTTAGTTATAGCTCATTTATAATAAATAAATAAATAAATAAATAAATAAATAAATAAATAAATAACAGGCTGCATTGTGGTGCATCAGGTAGTGATTGTGCCTCATAGCTCTGGCACACAGTGTTCAGTCCTAGAGATGTGAATGGCTGTGTATTTCCCAGTCTCAGATGAAATTCAGACCCAGTGACCATTTTTTCAGCCTCAGATTGGTGCCTATTATGGTGCTGAGTTATGTGTGGTGGACTTGGATTTGAACAGCGTTGCAGACCTTCTACTTGTTTCTGCTCCACTGCATAATGAGGGGGATCAGGAAGGAAAAGTCTTCATCTACACCTTTACCACATCTGTGTCCCAGGTAAAGAGTAAACACAACAGTCCTAAAGTAAGAAAGCTGAAATTGTTTTTTTATTCTCAACATCTTATTGAAAATGCCTGTTCCATCTTAAATGAAGTTGCAGATACAATATTACACCTGTAGAGGGTACTCATCAGTGTGAGTAGTGTAACACCCTTGAACTGGCTAATTATACCAGCAATTCTCAAACTCGGTCTGAGAAAAATCTCAGAAGTCTCTACTTAGTAAAGGTTATAGTAAAGGTATAGTAAAGCGGCTTTCTGTTTTTAACCTACCCTGTTTTGGAGCTCTTCACCCTTGAAAGTATTATACTATGTTGTATAAAATACCTAATTTTCAGACAAGGGTTTAAATAATCTTGGGCCACTAAAAACTCACCACAGTCTATAAGAACAGGCCTTCCTAAAATGGTCTGGATTGACCTCATCCTGGCCCAAAGTATACGTGACCCTTAAATGGTCACAATGTTTAGCATAAAATGCCTAATTTTCCCTGTAGGATTCAATGCTCACACCACTGTTTGAAAGGTTAAAACATTTTGGGCCACTAAAATCACATCACACTTTTCACTTCCAAGAATAGGATATTTTGTCCCCAGCCTGGTCAGTAATCATTATTATACAGTACATAATATATTGTTTAGAAATAGCTATTTCCGCATACATTTTTAAACCACTGTTTAGGAGGTTAAATCATCTTTGGCCACCAAAAACTCACTACAATCTGAAAGGACTTACTACAATGGCTATACTATTGTAGTAAAATGGCTATATTGCCATATGAGTCAATGTTCAGACCAAGTTAAGATAGTTAAGACATCTTGAGCCACCAAAAACTCAAAACAAAACTCATCAAAATACATATGTAAGAACAGGACTTCGTGGTATAGCTTGGTTCCAGGAGAATCCAGGTTGGTCCCAATGACCTGGACTCTGCTGGCATCTCCTGCTTTAATGCCATGGCCCCAAAGCACAGAGAGAACTTTACATTTTGTTGTCTATTTAATAGCTTCACTAATGACTGACAGAGCATAGGACATTATGAACATACAGTACCATGTGTTAAGCACATGTAAAGAAATTTTGTAAAGCAAAGATGCCTACAAAAGATGCTTAAAGTTCAGTGAACAGTAATAAACTAAACCAAGTCAAATATTAACTTGGTTTAGTTTGTTACTGTGAACTGCATCAGTTTTCTTAGGTGCCTTGTCATGTAGTTTTATAAGAAAACTGGCTAGTATGTTTTTCTAAGCATCTCCTGGAGACTTGAGCTGTTGTACTTGTTTCTGTTTCAGACAACTTCCAGTGTGTTCATTTGAAAAGTGGCCTGTTACTTAATGTGTTACATTCTTTAGCGACATGCAAACCTTTTTCTGTACAGGTAAAACACATTCAGTCAGTGAAAGGAATTCCAGGACAAAGGGGGAGGTTTGGCCTGACTTTGGCCAGCCCTGCAGATCTAAACAGGGACGGTCTGGTGGATGTAGTGATAGGAGCACCTCTAGAGGAGAAAGGCCAGGGCAGCATCTACATCTTTAATGGAAGAAAAGAAGACATTACCCCCACCTTCTCACAGGTCAGAGAGAAACAAATGTACACCTTCCTATTACGATTTCATTATTTAAAATGTGTTGTAATAAAGAGCACGTTGAACATGCTTGAACTTGATAAATGCCCCTAGTACCATGACATTTCACATACTGTTTAATTTTGACTTGAAAAATTCTTACTTTTTCCGTAGTCATTGATGAGCTTGTGTCTATGCTCAGATGACATTCTGTAACAGGTTATAAGCACCTAAAACTCACTCATATTTTTATATACACTCTAAAAAACGCTGGGTTAAATGTAACCCAATTTGAGTCATTTCTTGGCTGGGTCAACAGAACACACACTGGGGTAATTTGACTACATGCTGCTGGGTTATGTGTAACCCAAAACATAGATCATTATAAAGCAGCCATAGATCTTATTCAGATAGGGAATTTGAATACATTTTAATCTGTAAAATAACCAAATTACTAAAAGCTTTTTTTTTACTTTTATAGAAAGTATTTAGTTGTTTTATGTCAGCACCTGGCTAGCTCAGTTGGGAGAGCATGAGACTCTTACTCATAGAGTCATGGGTTTGAGCCCCATGTTGGGTGCCAAACCGAGCCAATGGGGTTGCACAAGTTAGTGTTGGTCCCAAGATAAAATGGAAGGGCAATCAGTGTAAAACCTGGGCCAAATCAAATATGCAGTCATAAACTGGATTTCCATAATGGAGATGGATGATCTGCTGTGGTGACCCCTAACAGGAGCAGCTAAAAGAAGAACAACAACATTTAGTTGTATGTGTGTATATATATATATATATATATGCAAAACCCAGCAGCCATCATTATGTTTTTTGTCTGAAAAGTGGTCTCTTACATAATATACTGCTTTCTTTATTTCTTTACTGACATACATTTTTCTGTAACATTTAATTTTGTGCTGGAAAACTAATGTTTTGAAATCTAAAATGTTTTTGTACTGACTCGATAATGTTGTTCCTCTTTTGGCTGCTCCCGTTAGGGGTCGCCACAGCGGATCTTTGGTCCGCGTATTTGATTTGGCACAGTTTTTACACCAGATGCCCTTCCTGACGCAACCCTCCCCAATTTTATGCATTTGCATTTTATTTGCATTTGTTTATTCATACTAACATTGAGATGTTGGTGTGTGGGCAGTATCTCCCCTCTACTGTCTCAGATATGCTCTCATCCATGGATGAGGCACTTTGTCAGCTGAGCATGAGCACTTAAAAACTGGTCTTGAGATGCTCTTGTCAGAATCCATGTGTAGGGTGTTTAATAACAAATCCTAAATCCACAATGCAAAAGCAGTGTCAAAACAGGTCCCAGGCAAGGACAACAGCAAGAACACACACACACACTCAATACAAGTTAAATACAATAAATACTTAGAAGCAATTTGCAATTAATATTATAATTATTACCTAAACCACAAAATTAGATAAACCATCGAAAAAGACTTTTCTTGGTGACTGGACTAGTTATTCTGTCATGAAGATGTTTCATCACTGATGAGAGGCTTAGCAGTGAGTTTGTGGGTGTCAGGTTAGCTACTATTTTAATTCTGTTATTCTGACAAGATTATCTAAAGTCTGACGCTAGCTAACATTAGATACTGAAATCAAGTAAATCCAAAAACCATACTATTACCTAGCTGGTTGTGTTAGCTAAGCTTCCCTTATCCTTTTCATTTCATATAATGTTAGTTCTCCATGTATAATATATCAGTTTATGCCATTCATTAAATCCAAGAATCCAGAACATAGAGAATGAATAAAGTGAGAAATAAGGTACTTTGATTTTACTTAGATAGATTTTCTCTCAGCTCTTCACTTCACATCATACAGGACCTCAGAAGTAAAAAGTGTCAAAAGTAACTTTAACTTTAAAAAGTAACCCAACACTGGGTTCTAATGACAATCCTGCCATTATGCTGTATGATATGAAATAACCCAACAAAATGATCCAACCCACTCAACCCAGAGATTGGGTTATGTAATGACTCAGCATTTTTAGAGTGTGCCATCACAGCTTGTCTTATTCTATCTTGTGTTTCTCTGATACATCTTACATCACATGGCTAATTTTTCTTAGTTTATAATTGTCTGCATTCAGCAGATAAAGTGACGGATACCAACATTCACACAACACACAAATTATTTTAAAAGGTAAAGCTGCAATAGTAATTCATGTTCATGTTCAAGATCTCTCACAATCAGCTTCTCTCTCTACTACTTTTACTATATACATTTTTTCCTGTGTTTTTCTACTGACAGAGAATCACAGGCTCATCTGTACGCACTGGGCTGCAATTTTTTGGTTTTTCTCTGAGTCAGTCTGCTCTGGACCATAGTGGAGACCAGCTGCCAGATCTTGCTGTTGGTTCCAAAGGAGCAGTCATACTTTTAAGGTCAGGCATTTCAGTTCTGACATGGTATTGTGTGTTACGCTTGTGTTAGGTGCAGCAGCTTTCACTGTCACTGCTGGGTTTAGAAGAGTCTGCAAACCAAAAAGATTATCAGCAAGAATCTTGTGGTCAGAAAATGACCACTGATGAGGAATTAGAGGATAATTAACACAAATTGCACACAAAAAATAGTAGCTATAGATCACCTACAAAGTGGCCTAACAAGGTAGGTTTGTCTAATAAAGTAGTCAGTAACTGTGCCACAATGTTTAACATGTGAACTATTTAAATGAAAGATACAGAAATTCCATCCTCCACATTTTGTCCTGGTACAACTGGAAATTGATATGGACTTAACTGGGATTTTTAGCATTTGGTTTACACAATATGCCTAATATATTCAGTTTTTTTTTTATTGTGACATTTTTTAAGTCACAATAGTATCCACCTCTCTGGGTCAATACTTGGTAGAACCACCTTAACTGCAAATACAGCTGCAAGTCTTCTTAGATATGTGTCTATCAGCTGGATGCTGATATTTTTTGCTCATTCTTCTTGGCAAAATTGCTCAAAATTGCTCAAGCTCTGTCAGATTGGACGTAGATGTTGGTGTTAATAATTAATAGTATATAGTAATTAATAGTAATTCTAACACATTCAGTTTCTTGGTTTTGAATCATTTCAGTGTAGCTATGACAATATCATTAGAAGTGTTGTCTTTATGAAAAGTGAACCTCTGCCCTAGTGTTAAGTCTCTGACCAGAACAGGTTTTCTTCTAGGATTGTTCTGTAATTGCACCCATACATTTTGCCCATTTTAGTCCCTGGTGGTGAAAAGCGTCCCCACAAGAGGATGCTACCACCGCTATACTTCACTGTGTGCATGGTGTTCTTAGGGTGATGAAGAGTGTCAGGTTTCCTCCAAATGTTGCGATTTTGTGACCAGGCCAAAAAGTTCAGTCTTGGTCTCCTCAGACCAGAGATATTTTTCCATATTTGTATCACCAACATGAATTTGGAAACCCCAAATATGATTTCGTATGGCTTTTTTTCCACAGTAATCGCTTTCTTCTTGCCACTCTTCAATAGACCAAGCTTTGTGGAGTGTCTGGGCAAACAGCTTCTCCCATCTGAGCTGTGGATCTCACCAGCATCTTCAGAGTTAACTATGGCCTCGTGGTTGCTTCGCTGACTAATGCCTTCCTTACAAATGTTGTTGACTTTTGGCGAATGGCCTTCTTTAGTTTCTCTTGTAGCTGTGCCATATTAATTCCATTTTTAAATAATGCATTTAATGGTGTTTCACAGGATGTTAAATTAAAAAAAAAAATTTTTATTAGTTTATTTGATAACCAAACTCTTTATTAACAGTTTTCCAGAACTTTGTCCTGAGCTTGTTTTGATAGCTTCTAGGTTTTCATTATGCTATTTGTATAGGTATGTTCCCAAATAAACCCGTGGCCTTCCAGGAACAGGTATATTTATATTGAGATGACATGAAACTTTAATTGAAGATAGATGGACTCTGTTCAGCTAATTATGTGGCTTCTGATGGCAACTGGTTGCACCAGAACTAATTTAAGTGTTACAGGGGTGAATACATATCCACTCAACAGGAGTGCAACAGGGGTGAATACATATCTACTCATAACTTTTAGGTGTTTTTATTTGTAAATAATTTTGATTTTGTCCCTCAACATAATAATATGGGCTGTTTTGTGTAGATTCATGACATACAGTGAAATTCCAATTAAGTCCACTTCAGTTCCAGTTTGTAACACTACAATATGTAAAAATGCTGTTAGTCTTAGTTTGATGTTACATTTACATTGTGTGTTGTGTTTTGTGTAATGTTCAGATCTAGACCCATTGTGAAACTGTGGAACAAAGTAACGTACAACCCGTCCAAAATCCCCACCAGAGACACCGACTGCAGCAGTCCTTTGAAAAACACACTAAAATTGTGTTTCACTATAATAGGATCAAATACTCGCATGACAGGTTCCTATATCTATCTACATTTTAAATGCATAACCTATTGGCCTTTCCCACAAAATAACAAGGGAAATCTTTGACTTCAGAAATCTTTGACTTCACTTGTTGTTATTTCTGTTTGTTTAGACTTGACTGCAAATGTAAACTATACACTAACACTTGATGCCAAACGACAAAGCTACCGAGCCTACTTTTCACCGAAAAACCGTGTTCTATTTGGCATGATATCTGTGTCGATGCAGGAGAAGTGCAATCAGCATGAATTTTTTATAGAGGTATTTGAAATGCTCCTTTTAAATCTTATAAATGTATTTACTTGCACACATTCAATGCTAAAAGGGAGTTCATTTGAGTGGCAAAAAAGGCTGCAAATAGGGTAGCCTAATATAGATGAGAATATTTGATTTCAAGTAAATTATTATTATTACATTGCACCTACATTTATAAATATATTATTTATTTTGTGTTAAAACACGAATAATGGAGGCTTAATGAATAATGTACAGGATCCAGTGTAACAGTAAATTGTACCCTTTCTAGTTCCTCAAGCCCCTGACAGCAAAAATTTAAAAAGATGCATGAATGATACATGAAAATATGTCTATGATGATATACTGATATGACCAGACAATGATAAGAAAATCTGATATTGTCATTGTTAGCATTATATTGATCTAGGGAATGTCTTCTTCTTCTTTTTTTTTTTTTTTAATCATGCCTAGGTGTGGTGTGCCTACTCCAGCATTTTTAAAAGAAAATAGCTAATTTTTAAAGAGGTGAAAATTTTGTACCATCCATTTAATAAATATTCTAAAAGTCCTTAATTAAATAATCATTTAATCCTTGCATCGTTGCTATAGTGTTATACGACATTTAAAGTTGTCTTCCTTAAGCAATCTGTGGTCTACCAAAACCATGCTATTGGGTTGCCTTTTTATCCCATTGTATATTTTTCACACTGTTTTACATCATTTGTCGTAGAAGACAATTCCTAGAAGAAAATAGAATTTTTCCATGGTAATTTGTAGTGGTTCCTCAAATTTTGCTATAGCACTACTAACTACTATTAAACAATAGTAATTTTCATGCAATTTTCATGCATTTTCTACTTATGTATTAATGTACATTATTTGGACATATCTTCATAACTGTCCTGAAGTCAAAATTAATCATTCATTCCAACATT